CCTCCAAGACGCCCAAGATGGCCTCCAAGACGGCCCTGGAGCGCCCCAAGAGGGTCCCCCGTTGGCCCAGAAAGGCCCCCAAAACGGCTCCCGACGGCGTCAGACGTGCCAGGAACCCACCAAGATGGCCGAAGTTGGCTCGAAGCTGGCCCAAAAGGGCCCAAGAGGCCCCCAAGAGGGCCTCCAGGAAGGCCAAAAGATGCCAAAATCACTGATTTTCCCAAGGTTTTTGATGGATTTGGGCATTTCCCTTCTTTCGGCCTTCCGACGGCCCGAGACGGCCCAAGAGCCCCCAAAGATCGCCGAAAGATCGCCCAAGAGGCCTCCAAGACGGCGACGATGACCATCAAGACGCCCACGTGTTCCCCGAAGGCTTTCCAAACCGATTCGGGGAACACATGGTCCGATGGCTTGGCAGGTCTGGCCTCAACGTTCGGCCACATAGGCGCTTCCACAAAGGCAGGGGGCGGCGGTGATTCGCCGTAGGCGTCTTCGATCCGCCGCCCCCTGCTTGCAGGGGTGCACGGCGTGCTGGATGAGCTGTTAGGTTTTGGTTTTGGTTCTTTTTCCAAAAGAACTCCCCAGTGGGCTCCGGCAGAACCCGCCGGCCACCCGGAAAATCCCCAAACGTGCTCAACGACCGCAAAAAATCCTCCAAAAAACTGCCGTTTCGCTCGGGACATCCTCAAACAATCGCGAAGATGGCCCAAGATGGCCTCCAAATCCGCCCGAGATGGTCCAAGACGGCCTCCAAGACGGCCCAAGAGAGTCCAAGACGGCCCAAGAGGCCCCCCAGAGGCCTCCCAGACGGCCCAAGAGGCCTCCAAGAGGTCCTCCAGGAGAGTCCGAAGAGGCCTAAATCATTGATGTTCCCTTGGTTTTTGAAGGATTTTGGCATTTGCGCCTTTTCGGCTCTCCGACGGCTCGAGACGGCCCAAGAAGCCCTCAAGATCGCCCAAGAGGCCCCCAAGAGAGCCCCATGATGGCCCAAGTGGCCTCCAAGATGGCCCCTAGAGGGCCCCAAGAGGGCCCAAGAGGCCTCCAACACGCCCAAGATGGCCTCCCAGACGCCCAAGATGGCCTCCAAGACGGCCCTGGAGCGCCCCAAGAGGGTCCCCCGTTGGCCCAGAAAGGCCCCAAAACGGCTCCCGACGGCGTCAGACGTGCCAGGAACCCACCAAGATGGCCGAAGTTGGCTCGAAGCTGGCCCAAAAGGGCCCAAGAGGCCCCCAAGAGGGCCTCCAGGAAGGCAAAAAGATGCCAAAATCACTGATTTTTCTAAGGTTTTTGATGGATTTGGGCATTTCCCTTTTTTCGGTCTTCCGACGGCCCGAGACGGCCCAAGAGCCCCCAAAGATCGCCGAAAGATCGCCCAAGAGGCCTCCAAGACGGCGACGATGACCATCAAGACGCCCACGTGTTCCCCGAAGGCTTTCCAAACCGATTCGGGGAACACATGGTCCGATGGCTTGGCAGGTCTGGCCTCAACGTTCGGCCACATAAGCGCTTCCACAAAGGCAGGGGGCGGCGGTGATTCGCCGTAGGCGTCTTCGATCTCCGCCGCCCCCTGCTTGCAGGGGTGCACGGCGTGCTGGATGATTCAGGTTTTGGTTTTGGATCTTTTTCTAAAAGAACTCCCAAGTGGGCTTCGGCCCGTCCCGCCGGCCACCCGCGAATTGCCCAAAACCCATCTCTCAATGCCCAAAAACGGCCGTTTCGCTCGGGACATCCTCAAAAAATCGCGAAGATGGCCCAAGATGGCCTCCAAGTCCGCCCGAGATGGTCCAAGACGGCCTCCAAAACGGCCCAAGAGAGTCCAAGACGGCCCAAGACGGCCCAAGAGGCCCCCCAGAGGCCTCCCAGACGGCCCAAGAGGCCTCCAAGAGGTCCTCCAGGAGAGTCCGAAGAGGCCAAAATCATTGATTTTCCATTGGTTTTTGAAGGATTTTGGCATTTGCGCCTTTTCGGCTCTCCGACGGCTCAAGACGGCCCAAGAAGCCCCCAAGATCGCCCAAGAGGCCCCCAAGAGAGCCCCATGATGGCCCAAGTGGCCTCCAAGATGGCCCCTAGAGGGCCCCAAGAGGGCCCAAGAGGCCTCCAACACGCCCAAGATGGCCTCCCAGACGCCCAAGATGGCCTCCAAGACGGCCCTGGAGCATTCCAAGCGGGCCCCAAGTCGGCCCATAGAGGCCCCCCAAACGGCTTCCGACGGCTTCAGACGTGCCAGGAACCCACCAAGATGGCCGAAGTTGGCTCGAAGCTGGCCCGAGACGGCCCAAAAAGCCCCAAAGATCGCCCAAAGCTTGCCCAAGAGGCCTCCAAGACGGCCAAGATGACCTTCAAGATGCCCACGTGTTCCCCGAAGGCTTTCCAAACCGATTCGGGGAACACGTGGTCCGATAGCTTGGCAGGTCTGGCCTCAACGTTCGGCCACATAGGCGCTTCCAAAAAGGCAGGGGGCGGCGGTGATTCGCCGTAGGCGTCTTCGATCTCCGCCGCCCCCTGCTTGCAAGGGTGCACGGCGTGCTGGATGATTCAGGTTTTGGTTTTGGTTTTGTTTCTAAAAGAACTCCCCAGTGGGCTTCGGCCCGTCCCGCCGGCCACCCGCAATTTTCCCAAAATCCATCTGTCAATGCCCAAAAACGGCCGTTTCGCTCGGGACATCCTCAAAAAATCGCGAAGATGGCCCAAGATGGCCTCCAAGTCCGCCCGAGATGGTCCAAGACGGCCTCCAAAACGGCCCAAGAGAGTCCAAGACGGCCCAAGACGGCCCAAGAGGCCCCCCAGAGGCCTCCCAGACGGCCCAAGAGGCCTCCAAGAGGTCCTCCAGGAGAGTCCGAAGAGGCCAAAATCATTGATTTTCCTTGGTTTTTGAAGGATTTTGGCATTTGCGCCTTTTCGGCTCTCCGACGGCTCAAGACGGCCCAAGAAGCCCCCAAGATCGCCCAAGAGGCCCCCAAGAGAGCCCCATGATGGCCCAAGTGGCCTCCAAGATGGCCCCTAGAGGGCCCCAAGAGGGCCCAAGAGGCCTCCAACACGCCCAAGATGGCCTCCAAGACGCCCAAGATGGCCTCCAAGACGGCCCTGGAGCATTCCAAGCGGGCCCCAAGTCGGCCCATAGAGGCCCCCCAAACGGCTTCCGACGGCTTCAGACGTGCCAGGAACCCACCAAGATGGCCGAAGTTGGCTCGAAGCTGGCCCGAGACGGCCCAAAAAACCCCAAAGATCGCCCAAAGCTTGCCCAAGAGGCCTCCAAGACGGCCAAGATGACCTTCAAGATGCCCACGTGTTCCCCGAAGGCTTTCCAAACCTATTCGGGGAACGCGTGGTCCGATAGCTTGGCAGGTCTGGCCTCAACGTTCGGCCACATAGGCGCTTCCAAAAAGGCAGGGGGCGGCGGTGATTCGCCGTAGGCGTCTTCGATCCGCCGCCCCTTGTTGATTTATCACAGGGGCGCCTGGCGTGCTGGATCCTTAAGATGTTGGTTTTGGTTCTTCTCCAAAAGATTGTTCGATGTGTTCAAGGATGTTTCAGGCGAAACGCTCAGTTTCGAAGGTTCGTCAAATTCATGACTTTCATGTTTTGGAGGATGTCCCAAGCGAAGAGCTGTTTTTTTTGATAAAAGACGATGTTGCGAACATCTAGTTCGTGCGATCATGTCTCAAACGAAATGCTCATTTCGAGGAACCTGACCGGACAAGAACGGGAAGCGCCGATTTGTCAACGAACCCTCTCAGAAAAACGTACGTTGATAATGTCAAAGAAACTTAGAAACGTAGACCAACAACGCAGCAGCGCGGCAGACGAGCACGGCATACCACAGCAGCACGGCAGGCCAGCACGGCAGACCACAGGAGCACGGCTGACCAGAACGGCAGAACGAGAAGGAGCATAGCAGACCACAGGAGCACGGCAGACAACCACGGCGGACCACAAGAGCACGGCAAACCAAAACGGCAATCCACAAGAGCACGGCAGACCGGCACGGCAGACCAGAGGAGCACGGCAGACCAGCGCGGCAGACCACAGGGGCACGGCAAACCACAGCACCTCTACAGACGAACGCGGCGGACCACAAGAGCACGGCAGACTAGCGCGGCAGACCGCACGAGCACGGCAGACCACAGCAGCACTACAAACCAGCACGGCGGACCACAAAACACGGCAGACCAGCGCGGCAGACCACAGGGGCGCGGCAGACCAGCACGAGCTGCATCTTTAAGTGATTGGTATCGAAAAACACCTAATCCGAAGCTGCATGTTTTCTGGGTGTCTGCAGCAAGAGCCTCATTTCCGAAGAAACGAAATATTTGCAAGCTACTTCATCATTTCATTTGTAGGAACGTCGTCGTATGGCAGATCCCCCAGCACCCGCATTTTGGGAGGATGCCTCAAGCGAAAATGTCGTTTTTGTAACAATCGATGCTGATAACTTCTCGTTTTGGTGAGGATTTCCGCTTCAAAACCGTTATTTTCGGCCGTGTCATTTTTCGGGCCGCTCTCCAAATTGGTCCCAATGCCGAAGCTATACAACTCTTGTGTTGCCGATTGGGCTGGGCCGGAAACGTGCGGTACCGAACAGTCCGGCAAGCACGTCGCGCCCTGGTCTCAGGGAAGGCGAAACAACCAGGCTCCAAGCTGGGGAGCAACCCAACCCGGACCCAATGCACTTCGGTCAGGCCAAAGACAGGCTTGGAAAATGATGCAGGCGTGGGTTGGAGTGGGTAATTTCCGCAGCCTCGAGCCACAAAGGCAACGGTGCTCATGCAGTCGCCCACCCAACCCCCAAATGATACTTGGGTTGCTTTGTGAGAGCAAATTGCTACTTCAGAAAAACGTCCACGCCGGAGGCGCTTCCCGCCATTCCCCGAGATGACTCAGGATGCTTCTAAAAGACCCACATAAGGCCCTCAGAGTCCCGCAAACGGCCCCCAAGAGCTCAACAAAGCCTCACCCGTGTATTTCTTTCCTCTTCTGCGGGTCGGTGGAACGGCGTAAGCCCCTTGAATGAGGATGAAGTTCCACTCTGCCGAGATGCCCGCCGCGGCGAAGACCCAGATGGCTCCGAAGAGCAGGAGGCCAGACTGCACATTGACCGGGCCGAACCTCTCGAGGAGGGTGCCGAGCGCCACGCGCACAAAGATCGTGATGCCGACCGAGGTGATGCTTGAATACAGGATCGTCGAACCGCAGTGCGTGCCCGGGCTGCAAACGCACTTAGGGAGGACTTCGAAATTATCCGCCACCGTGCCCCCTGACACGTCGAGACGTGCTAGAATGCCAAGTGCTGTCTGGCAGGGTTTCTGTAATCTTCTAAGGCCCCCCCCCCGCTCGACGCGCCCAATTGCATGCATCGCCCCCTCTCCCGAGGCTCTCTGGGCGGCCATGACGCCTCCTTGGCGCTCTTCATGGCGTCCAAGATGCCCAAGATGGCTTCCCATACGGACCTGGGAGGCCACCAGGGCCGCCAAGATGGCCCAAGATGCCTCCAAGATGGTCCAAGATAACCCCAAGATGGCCCAAGATGGTCGGACACCGTCGGACATCGCGAGACAAAGAGGTGTACATATGGGGATCTCCACGTCGAATATAATAAGTTGTTGCACGATTTTCGCATTCTTGCCTTTGCGCTTCCGTCGGCTCAAGACGACCCAAGAGCTCTCCAAGTTGGCCCCACGACGGCCCAAGAGGGCCTCAAGGTAGCCCAAGAGGCCTCCAAGACGGCCTTAAGACAGCCCAAGAGGGCCCCTGGAGAGCCCAGGACGGACCCAAGAGGGCCTCAAGCTGGCCCTGAAGTGCTTCCGGAGGGACCCAAGCCGGCCTGAGAGGACCCCCTGGACGGCCGAATACGGCCCAAGAGGGCGGGCCTCAAGACGGCCCAAGACGGCCGCAAGGTTCCCCCAAGACTGCCTCTCAGGAGCTCAGGACAGCCCAAAGACGACCAAACGAGGTCCATGTGGGCCCTGCAGGAACGAAGACGAAAGGTGTCACATGTGACGGCTTTCCTCTTCGTCGTCGTCGTCGTCGTCCTCCTCCTCCTCATCACCACCGTCCTCGTCCTCGTCCTCCTCATGACCATGGTCACCACCACCACCATCACCATAACCATCACCATCATCATCATCATCAGCACCATCGTCTTCGTCATCGTCATCGTCGCCATCGTCATCATCATCATCATCATCATCATCATCATCATCATCATCGTCATCATCATCATCATCATCATCATCATCATCGTCGTCGTAGTCGTCGTCGTCACCATCAGCATCGTCATCGTCATCGTAATCGTCGTCATCATCACCAGCATAAGCATCAGCATCATCATCATCGTCGTCATCATCAGCATCAACATCACCATCATCATCAGCATCATCATCATCATCACCATCGGCATCATGTTTTTTCGTCCCCCGCGTCCGCCACAATCCTCCTCCTCCTTCTCCTCCTCCTCCTCCTCCGCCTCCCCATCATCCTCCTCAGCCTCTCATGGAAATAATCATGCTCATCATCACAATCGTCATCAGGTTCGTCGTCGTCGTCATTATCATCATCATCATCATCATCATCACCATCATCACCATCACCATCACCATCACCATCACCATCACCATCATCATCATCATCATCATCATCATCATCATCATCATCATCATCATCATCATCATCATCATCATCGATTCGAACAGCTGCCACCGAAAATGAAAATGCTGGGCTGGCACGGTGGCGGGACTCACCGCAGGCAGCTGGATATTTCATGCACGCCTCGGGGCACAGATCGACGTCGTCCGTGAGCGTCTCGCTCTGCGTGCACGCGGTGGCCGCCACCCCGCCACAACTCTCGTCCCAAACGTCCTGCGGCACATCCTGGCACCCAGTCGGATCGTTATCCTCTCCGATCTTCCCATGCTGGCAATACTTCTTCCCCGACGCGATCGCCTTGAACTTCAAGAATGCTTTCCTCTCTGGGTTCGCAACCGGTGGGAAGAGCTGGTTTTCGCAAGCGTCGATGCTGTGGACCACCTCGATAGCGATCGGGCTCAGGGCGAACCAACCCACGAACGCCACGAAGAAAGATACTGTCGAGGCCCAGAAAGCCCGCATGTGAGCACCATGCCTCTTGTCCCTGCCGAGCGCGCCGCATAGCCTCAACTCCGTGGACTTCAACTGGTCGTTCACCCTCACCGCGAACTCCTGCTCCGACATGTCTGCGTGGCTCTCGCGCGTGTGCTGCCGGGCCAGAGTGACCGTGCCGGAACTATTGGAGCCGAAACAAAAAATGCTACGGAGAAAAAAAACATGAGGAGGCCTCCAGCCTCCAAGGGCTGCCGGGGAGACAATCAAAACATCCACACAAGGCACGGTTCGCCGCGCCCAAGGGGGGGGAACCTGCCGGCCCCCTTGTGGGGCCACCAAGCTGCGAGGGCCAAGCTTTGCCGCAGCCACTCCAGTTTCTAATTGTGACTTGTTGCTGAGCGCGCGAGGCCCCTAGGCCGCAACCTATCGTGAATTAGGCCAGACTCGCGCTCCCGAGGCCACAGTCAATCGTAAATCATGTCGGGCTCGCGCTCCCGAGGCCGCCCTCCCCCTTCAATTATACCAGGCACGCGCTCCCGCGGCCACGATCCCTTGCAAATTACGCCAGACTCGCGCTCCCCACCCCACGATCCCTCGCAAATTACGCCAGATTCGAGCTCCCGACGCCACAGTCCATCGACATTTCGCCAGACCAGATTCGCGACCCCGAGGCCGCGATGCCCCGCAATCTACACCAGACTCGTTAAAAACACAAGTTATGTGAATTCCGCGTTTCTAGACCACGTGGTCACAGGAGCACCCACAGCAGCATGCAAAACAAAATAAACAATAAAAACTGAATATCATTTCGCGCTCCTGGACCGCGGCCGGCCACCGGAACACCCAGCGGCAGGCAGGACAGAAGAGTGACAAAATTTCATACTCTTTTCGCGCTCCTGGACCGCGCGCCACCAGGGCACCCACAGCAGCACGTCAGACGGAAGAGAAACCGGGATTTTGGGTTGCTTCCATACGAAATCCAAAGGAAAACCGGGATCTTGGAGTGCTTCCATAGGAAATCCAAAGGAAAACCGGGATCTTGGAGTGCTTCCGTAGGAAATCCAAAAGAAAACCGGGATCTTGGGCTGCTTCCATCGGAAATCCACAGGAAAACCGGGATGTTGGGCTGCTTCCATAGGAAATCCAAAGGAAAACCGGGATCTTGGGCTGCTTCCATAGGAAATCCAAACCAAACCTTGATTTTGGACTGGTCCCATAAGAAATCAAAACAAAAAAAAAATAATACAAAAAAAAACGGGATCTTGGAGTACTCCCATAAGAAATCCACAAGAAAACCGGAATCTTGGATTGGTTCCATAGGAAATCCACAGGAAAACCGGGATCTTGGATTGGTTTCATAGGAAATCCAAAGGAAAACCACGATATTGGGCTGCTTCCCTAGGAAATCCAAAGGAAAACCGGGATCTTGGGGTGCTTCCATTGGAAGTCCAAAGGAAAATCGGGATCTTGGGGTGCTTCCATAGGAAGCCCGAAGGAAAACTGGGATCTTGGACTGGTTTCATAAAACGAGAGAAGAAGGTGATCTTGGATTGGTACAATAAAAAATCAAAAAGAAAACCGGGATCTTGGAGTGCTTCCTTAGGAAATCCAAAGGAAAACCGGGATCCTGGACTGGCCCAAATCCGAAGGAAAACCGGGATCTTGGATTGGTTTCATAAAAAATCAAATGAAAACCGGGATGATGGGCTGCTTCCATAGGAAATCCCAAAGAAAACAAAGATCTGTGATTGCATCCATAAGAATCCAAAGGAAAACCGGGATCTTGGAATTGTTCCTGAGGATATCCATATGAATACCGGGATCTTGGACTGATCCCATAGGGAATCCAAATGAAAACCGGGATCTTGGATTAATTTCATGACAAATCCAAAGGAAAACCGGCCGGGATCTTGGATTGCTTCCTTAGGAAATCCAGGAAGCCCAAAGGCAAACCGGGATCTTGCGGTGCTTCCATGGGGAATCCAAGGGAAAACAAGAACCTTGGATTGCTTCCAAAAAAATCCGAAGGAAAACCGGGATCTTAGGCTGCTTCCCTAAAAAATCCAAGAAGGAAAACCGGGATCTTGGAGTGCTTCGTTAGGAAATCCAAATGAAAACCGGGATCTTGGGGTGCTTCTAAAGGAAACAAAAAAAAAACGGGATCTAGGTTTGGTTTCATAAAAATACAAAGGACAACCGGGATCTTGGATTGGTTCCTTAAGAAATCCAAAAGAAAACCAAAATCTTGCTTAGGAAATGCAAAAGAAAACCGGGATCTTGGAGGGCTTCCATAAGAAATCCAAAGGACAACCGGGATCTTGGACTGGTTTCATGAAAAAACCAAAAGGAAAACTGGGATCTTGGAATGCTTCCACAGGAAGTCCAGAGGAATACCGGGATCTTGGGGTGCTTCCATAGGAAATCCAAAAGAAAACCAAGATCTTGGGGTTCTTCCATTGGAAATCCAAAGGAAAACCGGGATATTCGATTGGTTCCTGCGGAAATCCAAAGGAAAACCGGGATCTTGGACAACTTCCATAAGAAATCCAAAAGAAAACCGGGATCTTGGATTGCTTATCAATGAAAAAACACTGGATATTGGGCTGCTGCCATACGAATTCCAAAGAAAAACTGGGATCTTGGATTGGTTCCTTAAGGAATCCAACGGAAAACTGGAATCTTGGACAACTTCCATAGGAAATCCAAAAGAGAACCGGGATCTTGGATTGCTTCCTAAGAAATCCAAACGAAAACTGGAATCGCGGGCTCCTTCCATGGGAAATCCAAAAGAAAACCGGGATCTTGGATTGTCTCCGGAAGAAATCCAACGGAAAACTTGGACCTTGGACAACTTCCATAAGCAATCCAACAAGGAAAACCGCGATATTGGGCTGCTTGCACAAGGAATCCAAAAGAAAACCGGGATCTTGGGGTGCTTCCATAGGATATCCAAAGGAAAACCGGGATTTTGGATTGCTTCCGTAGGTAATCCAAAGGAAAACCGGGATCTTGGGCTGCTTCCATGGGATATCCAAAGGAAAACCGGGATCTTGGGGTGTTTCCATCGGAAATCCACAGGAAAACTGGGATCTGGGATTGCTTCCATAGGAAATCCAAATGAAAACCGGGATCTTGGGGTGCTTCCATAGGAAATCCAAAAGGAAACCGGGATCTTGGGGTGCTTCCATAGGAAATCCAAAAGAAAACCGGGATCTTGAGTGCTTCCATAGGAAGTCCAAAGGAAAACCGGGATCTTGGATTGCTTCCCTGGGAAATCCAAAAGAAAACCAGGATCTTGGATTGCTTCCATAGGAAATCCAAAAGCAAACCGGCATCTTGGGGTGCTTCCATTGGAAATCCAAAAGAAAACCGGGATCTTGGGGTGCTCCCATGGGAAATCCACAAGAAAACCGGGATTTTGGGGTGCTTCCATAGGAAATCCAAAGGAAAGCCAAGATCTTGGATTGCTTCCATAGGAGATCCACAAAGAACCGGGATCTTCGGGTGCTCCCATAGGAAAACCAAAGGAAAGCCAAGATCCTGGATTGCTTCCATAAGAAATCCAAAAGAAAACCGGGATCTTGGAATGCTTCCATAGGAAATCCAAAAGAAAACCGGGATCTTGGGATGCTTCCATAGGAAATCCAAAGGTAAACCGGGATCTTGGATTGCCTCCATAGGAAATCCAAAGGAAAACCGGGATCTTGGGGAGCTTCGATAGGAAATCCGAAGGAAAAACCAACATCTTGGATTGCTTCCATAGGAATTCCAAAAGAAAACCGGGATCTTGGGATCCTTGCATAGGAAATCCAAAAGAAAACCGGGATCTTGGATTGCCTCCGTAGGAATTCCAACAGAAAACCGGGATCTTGGATTGCTTCCATAGGAAATCCAAAAGAAAACCAGGATCTTGGATTGCTTCCATACGAAATCCAAAAGAAAACCGGCATCTTGGGATGCTTCCATGAGAGATCCAAAGGAAAACAAGCATCTTCGATTGCTTCCATAGGAAATCCAAAAGAAAACTTGGATCTTAGATTGCTTCCATAGGAAGTCCAACGGAACACCGGGATCTTGGATTGCCTCCATGGGACATCCAAAAGAAAACCGGGATCTTGGGGTGCTTCCATCGGAAATCTTCAAGAAAACCGGGACCTTGGATTAGTTCCATAGGAAATCCAAAGGAAAACTGGGATCTTGGATCGCTTCCAGAGGAAATCAAAAGGAAAACCTGGATCTTGGATTGCTTCCATGGGAAATCCAAAGGAAAACCGGGATCTTGGATTGCTTCCGTGGGAAATCCAAAAGAAAACCATGAAGGTGGGGTGCTTCCATAGGAAATCCACAAGAAAACCGGGATCTTGGTTCCATCGGAAATCCTAGAAAGAAAAACCATCATCTTGGATTGCTCCCATACGGAACTCCAAAGGAAAACCGGGATCTTGGGGTGCTTCCATTGGAAATCCAAAAGAAAACCGGGATCTTGGACTGCTTCCATAGGAAATCCAAAGGGAAACCGGGACCTTGGGGTGCTCCCATAGGAAATCCAAAGGAAAACCGGGATCTTGGATTGCTTCCATAGGAATTTCACAAGAAACCCGGCATCTTGGATTGCTTCCACGGGAGATCCAAAAGAAAACCGGCATCTTGGATTGCTTCCATAGGAAGCCCAAAATTATCCTGGCGAAGGACCCAACCATATGCAATTGTGAATACTGCAATTGTGAAAATCTTCTCGGTGGAGCCCCCTACGGGGCCACGAAACGTACGAGGGGTGCGCCGAAATGGGTGTGCGGGACGCATGCGGGCACACCCACTGGGGCCTTCGGTGGAGCTCTCTATGGGGCCAAGAAACGTGTGAGGGGTGTGCCGAAATGGGTGTGCGGGACGCATGCGGGCACACCCACTGGGACCTTCGGCGGAGCTCCCTATGGGGCCACGGAACGCGTGAGGGGCGTGCCGAAATGGGTGTGGCTGACGCATGCGGGCGCGGGCACTGGGGCCTTCGGCGAAGCTCCCTATGGGCCACGAAACGTGTGAGGGGTGTGCCGAAATGGCTGTGGGTGACGCATGCGGGCGCGGGCGCTGGGGTCTTCGGTGGAGCTCCCTATGGAGCCACGAAACGTGTGAGGGGTGTGCCGAAATGGGTGTGGGTGACGCATGCGGGCTTCGGCGGAGCTCCCTATGGAGCCACGAAGCGTGTGAGGGGTGTGCCGAAATGGGTGTGGGTGACGCATGCGGGCGCGGGCACTGGGGCCTTCGGTGGAGCTCCCTATGGAGCCACGAAACGTGTGAGGGGTGTGCCGAAATGGGTGTGGGTGACGCATGCGGGCGCGGGCACTGGGGCCTTCGGTGGAGCTCCCTATGGAGCCACGAAACGTGTGAGGGGTGTGCCGAAATGGGTGTGGGTGACGCATGCGGGCGCGGGCACTGGGGCCTTCGGTGGAGCTCCCTATGGAGCCACGAAACGTGTGAGGGGTGTGCCGAAATGGGTGTGGGTGACGCATGCGGGCGCGGGCACTGGGGCCTTCGGTGGAGCTCCCTATGGAGCCACGAAACGTGTGAGGGGTGTGCCGAAATGGGTGTGGGTGACGCATGCGGGCGCGGGCACTGGGGCCTTCGGTGGAGCTCCCTATGGAGCCACGAAGCGTGTGAGGGGTGTGCAGAAATGGGTGTGGCTGACGCATGCGGGCGCGGGCACTGGGGCCTTCGGTGGAGCTCCCTATGGAGCCACGAAGCGTGTGAGGGGTGTGCCGAAATGGGTGTGGGTGACGCATGCGGGCGCGGGCACTGGGGCCTTCGGTGGAGCTCCCTATGGAGCCACGAAACGTGTGAGGGGTGTGCCGAAATGGGTGTGGGTGACGCATGCGGGCGCGGGCACTGGGGCCTTCGGTGGAGCTCCCTATGGAGCCACGAAACGTGTGAGGGGTGTGCCGAAATGGGTGTGGGGGACGCATGCGGCCGCGGGCACTGGGGCCTTCGGTGGAGCTCCCTCTGGAGCCACGAAACGTGTGAGGGGTGTGCCGAAATGGGTGTGGGTGACGCATGCGGGCGCGGGCACTGGGGCCTTCGGTGGAGCTCCCTATGGAGCCACGAAACGTGTGAGGGGTGTGCCGAATTGGGTGTGTGGGTGACGCATGCGGGCGCGGGTACTGGAGCCTTCGGTGGAGCTCCTATGGGGCTACGAAGCGCTGCACTTCGGGCGCGGCCAAACCGACCCCTGGCAAACCATACCCTTGCGTAACGAGTTTTGCGCTTTCGAGGTCCATGCGGTCCGCGCGTGCGTTGGCTGCAGACTCGAGCAAAACGAATTGCCCACGCGCGAAGCGCTCTCGGGGCACGACCGGCGCCGCCCCAAAGGAATTCGCAAACAGAAGTCATGAAGTGCAGCAAGTGTGCCGCGCAGCTTCCTCGATCGAGTCGGAATGTGTGCTTGTTTGGCGGAGTTGGCGAAGGAGCAATGGGAGCATCGCTGCCATTCTTGCGCGTGCGTCTACAATGTTTTCAGATGCGGCACCATCGCATCTGCATCTTGGGGCGCGAGCGGCTTCGCAACTAGAGGAAACGTATGATTGCCCGCTGACATTTTTCGGTGCTACTGTTGACTCGATCATCTTAACCACTCGCGTGCGTTTTGTGTTTGTCTCAGAATCAATGAATGCTCGACAGTGGCCCCTCGCGGAAATTGCAGGGATTTGACAACAACTCGCCGTCGATTTCGGCTGACGCCCGGGGCCCCGCTTTCCTAGGTTACTGAGAATGTTAGGATATGCGGGGGTTGCCAGACGATTGATGCTGGCGGTCGGACTCCGGAGCTCGCGGTTTCCCTCGAGCGAGCTGGGCGAGGCCCCCCCCCCTCCCCCCCGAAGCCGCAACGAGGCTCCGAACAAAAAATCTTCTGAGGCACCCAAAAGAGCTCCGAGAGGGCTCCAAGCCGACCCCCAGTGGGCCCCAGGTCAAGGTGCACGGTGCATCATGCAACCGCAATGGCATGGCGGGGGACGTTGCTGTTGAGCACGACGCCGCGCCGTGGGGCAAACGGCAATGCATGCCACATCGAGGAAAACCTTACCCTCTTGCTTCAAGGGAGCACGCGGAAACAATACGACGAAAAAGTGTGCATGCAAATGTCGCCTGCAGGAGCCTCCTCGGGACTCTCTCGGGGTTCTCTCGGGGCATCCTCGGGGCTTCAGGACAGCCCCAGCGCGGCCCAAGACGGCTCCAGGAGGGCACCGGCCGTGGCCCACGCAACGGCCCAAACTCATGTTGCACCATGCATCCTGATGCGGGCCCTCCAAACATGTATTTGGACCCCTTCTGATGGGTGCCCTCTGGGGCGTTCTTTGGGGCCCTCAATGGGTTCGAGGGGGCTGCGGGTGGGCCTTGGGGAGACCCCCAGGGGGGCTCCAGGAGGACCCCGGATGGATCCCCAGATGGCCCAGAGCCAAAAGCATTTTGAATATTGGATTTGGGCCCTCTTGGTGGGCAACTAGATTTTATTAAAGCCGTATTAGCGAATTATCGGCGACACGGGCCCCCTCCGGCTTCGGGCGGGTTTCAGGAAGTCCCGGAGAATGCCCCACGGGGCATCAAGTGAACCCCGAGACATTCCTGAATCAGGATGCAGCGCGCGTCCTAACTTTGGATTTTCTTGGGGTCCAGGCGGGGCTCTCCCGAGGTCCTCTTGTGGGCCTCGCGGGGCCCACTTGGGGCCCCCTTGAGCCCTCAGGCAGGCTTCGAGAAATTGTTGGCGCTCCGCGTATCCCCGCCAGCCCGTCCAATAAATCACCAGGCGACTTGCCCTGATCATCAGGAGGAGCGATGAGGGTGAAGGGATGAGCCAGGAGGGAGGGGTGATATACAATAGCAGTCGAATACGAGAGTGGTCATGGACAGCAGTGTTCATATACGCAAGTGGTCGTGCACAAGAGGCCCTCTTGGGTATCTCTTGGGCCCCCTTGGGGCCCTCGTGGGGCTCGCTGAGGGCCGTCTTGAGGCCCTCTAGGGGTCCCCTCGGAGCATTGCCCGGGCCCTCCAAGGCCTTCCAGTGCGATCCGGAGGGCTTCAAGCGGGCTCAAGACGGTTCCAAGAGAGCTTCAAAGTTTGTCCATATATTTGAAATTTGGAGGCCCTCCCGAGGCTCTCTTGGAACCCTCTTGAGGCCCTCCGAGATTGCATTGGAAGGCCTGGAGGGCCCCGAGAGGGCCCCCCCGAGGGCCCCCGACCAGGAAACCTCCGGGGGGGGTCGCCACGGTAGCCTCCGGTTTGGGCGCCCCCTCGTCACGGAAAAAACAAAAAAAATGGAAGAAAAAACGAAATAAAAAAACAAAAAAAAAAACATTAAACCCCCTCCGGTTAAAAAAAAAAAAAAATAAAAAAAAAAGAAAAAAAGTTAGCGCCGGGGCCCCCCCCGACTCGCACGAAATAAAAAGTGTGAACAAAAAAGGAAAACCGAAAAAAAAAAAAAAAAAGAAAAAAAAAAAGGAAAAAAAAAGTAAAAAAAAAAAGAGTTAAACAAAAAAAAAAAAAAAAGAAAATAAAAAAAAAAGTGGAAAAAAAAAGAAAAAGAGAAAAAAAAAAAAAACATAGCAAAAAAAACAAAAAAAAAAAGACAACAAGAGCCTCTGGTTTAGGCACAAGTCGGGAAACAACTGCGAGGGCCGCGGCCCTTAGTAAGTCTTCGGGGTGTTTGCAACAGCTTGCAGGTAGCTTGCACTCGGCTTGCAAAGCGTTTACAACCTAGCAATGTTACTTGTAATCACGCGATCCTATTTCCACCCGCCCCTCATCTTTTAGCGTGTTTAGCGTCGGACGGACATCGCGGTTAACCCGAGCGATCTTGGTTAAGCGTAATTCAGAGGGGGTGGATAGCTTATATTGGGAAGTCGATTCGCGCGGTTAGCGTTCTCACTTACTTTTTCGCTTGTAAGGGGGGTAACGTAAGTTAGGGTTTGTAGGTTAGACGTGGAGTTAGCTAACCCAGCTATCCTAGTTAGGGGGTCGCACATTTCGGAGGGGACCATTCCGAATTTCGATGCAGCTGAGCCAATATTTGATTCGCGAACGGATGTTTTCTGGACTGTGTGAGTCAGGGGGTGACTAGGTGTATATCGATTATTTTCACGGTGATGGGGGGGAGAGGGATGCCACTCATCATCACGTAGCCGTTCTGTAGCCGTATGAGTTTCCTTTTTTTTGGTTGTCCAGCGAGAACTTCACGCATGGAGAAAGCACTGCAAGCTTGCGGTGACACTATTACACAGATGATCGGACAGTTTTTAGGCGGCCAGTCAAATCACAAGCACACCCAGATCACGTCAGCCCTGAGCAACCTGAAGAAGATGCTTCTGCAGCACGACCTGGCGTATGAGCTCGTCATACCAGCGAAAAGCTTGAATTGTCATTTTCAAAATCGGCACGGTATCGGAGTTGACAGCGACGCAGTGCACAAGTTACTCAACATGATTATTTCAATTGGGTTTGATATTGAAAAGACTCGTGAATCTGTATGTTTCGAGGTCTCCAAAGACCCATCGAAGTTCAAGAAGCAAGTAGAGTTCAACAAAACACTTGCCACATCGAGCAGTGGAGGGCTTGCAGATGTGAACCCTGCAGACTGCAAGTATTTGACCGTTGCTGGCAGCCACACGTTGCAGCTGTTGCGGTGCATCATCTTCGGCTGTACGAGCGAGAACGAACACATCACTGACCAGACGGGCAAGATAGTCCAGGACGGAGGGGCGGTAACCAGCCAACAGCGCACGAGAGTCATAGTTTCGACCCTTGGGTTGAAACCGTGGCGCGCGTACGCTGTTGCTGGTCACCCCTCCGTCTAGGAGAAGGCGTTTGCCTTCTGCGACTCTCTCAGGAAGCCCTGCACCGAGGGGTACACGTGGTTTGTGATCAGGGCCGAGGTCGAGGAGGCGTTCCCAGAGCTGCCGACGCTGTTCGTGGAGGGCGGCAACGCAGACCACGGGACGAGCACCACCCAGTCGAAGATCCAAGCACTCTTGCAAGTTCACGGCATGGGCCAGAGGAATTTGCTGAGTTGCCAAAGCTACAAGTGGAAAGAGATCGAGCAGGCGATGGAGAAGACAAAACCACATTTGCGCGGCCAAGTTGGCGACATGATCGAGTTTCTGAAAGTGTACAGCGGTGGAGACAATGCACCGTTGCTGCTAGACGTCGCTGCATATGCGAAGTGCGTCGGGGATAAGATGCGCGACGTGCATGGGACCACGTTCAAGATGCTATCACAGGTGCCGTTCCTACAGGGACCTACCTTCATTGGCGCATGCGTGAAAGCATGCATGGTGTGCCCAGCGCAGTACGCCAAGAACGGGGTTAGCAAGCTCATCAGCAGCTCCGACTTCTCCTCGCTCAGCCAGCCCGCCAGCAAGCTGAAAGCCGACGCCCTGGAGATTTGCACCGCCACGGAGGTCGCGGAGGCATGGCTATCAAAAGTACCTGGCATCGACCCTGGAGTTTCGGCCAGGCTGATCGGGGACATGCAAGTGAGATCAATCATGACGTGCCTCAAGAAAAAATCGAAACCCACGAAGAACTACGAGACACTGAATGAGGTCCACGCGCAGTTCATGGTGGATGCGCGGGCGGCGCAGCCGCAATGCATGGAGGTTAAGCCGACTCCGATCGAGGCCGAGGCCGAGGAGGACATCAACGAGCGCAAGGCCGCGTCCGCTGGCGTCGTCCAGTTCTCCAAGGGCGGCACGCTGAGCGACCGCGTGATGCAGAACAATGGCCTCGTTGTTGGTAAGAGGGTGTGGCATAAGACTGACCACAAGACGGCGCGCGTCATCCAGAACCTCGAGAGCGGCAAGGCCACGCTCGTGAGCCAGGAGTGGTGGGACGAGGACATGCGTCGGCGGAAGCAGAAGACGTCCAGCACGCCTGTGGAGAAGATGGAGCTGGTCGTGTCTTTCGGCTGCGTGGTGGACGAGTGGGAGGCTGCTTTTTTTGTTGATTGATCTCTCCGCCCTCATGCTGCTATCAACTGCACGTATACGTGTAGTTGATAGCCACATGAGGGCGGCGATGGCGGTAACGTCGGCGACAATGACGACAATCTGCGCGAGGGGGGGCGGATGAAGCCTCAAAAAAAAAAAAAACGGCTGTTCGACGAGTAGCCGACCTTAAGACGACGGCGGCGTTGGCGACGACGACGGCGACGACGACGGCGACGACGACGAGGACGACGCCGACGACGATCGGGGACGACGACGACGACGAGGGCGACGACGACGACGACGAGGACGACGGCGACGAGGAGGAGGAGGAGGAAGACGACGACGACGACGACGATGAAGACGGTGACGACGACGAGGACGACGATCGTCGTCTTCGTCGTCGTCGTTCTCCCCGAGGAGAACGACGACTACGAATAATTAAGAGCGCTCTCAGCTGGTCCCCGTCCCCGCCGAGATCATCACCAATGTGTCCAACGTGTTCGAGCAGGCATTGGGTAACGACCAATGCGCGATCGAGGAGTTCAAGGCCCAGGTGCACGCGCCTTGCCGTGCTTTGCCACTGATGATACGGATGCGGATGAGGACGGCGAGGAGGAGGATGATAAGAGGGAGGATGATGATGATGAGGAGGAGGACTGGCTGGGCTGGGCACTCGGCGGAGACCTGGTCAACGCAGTCTTGGGGTCCAACGGGCTGGACTCATTCTGGGCCCAACGGAGGGCCCTGCCCGAAGGTTCCGTGCACCCCAGCCAGGTAAACCCCACGAGGGAAGGAGGGGTGACGGAGGAGGATGAGGAGGATCCCCCATGTAGTGCTTGCCCCCCCCCATGTGCGATGCGCGCTGAAGCACGCCTTCGCGCGCTACCGCGCCGAGGTCACCGTTGCATCTACCAAGATGTCGAAGAAGGTCGTGAGCAACACTGGTTATAAGAAGGGTGAGCTCATCTTAGTCCCCTTTACCCCATTTATCTCCCACAACACGAAAGTGCCCGCAAACGCTGTCGAGGTGCCGTCGGCGCTGGAGGATATCGATACGAAGGTGCACGTGTCCCCGAAGTTTGAGGCCCCGTCCCCCCAGAGCGATGAGAGCAATACATTCGTCGTTCCGTTTTGGTGCGTGGCTTCAAACCCTGACAGCGCTGCTGTGAATATGGTTCGCTCGACAGTGTCCGTGAAGATACAAGTCATCATTGGAGAGCGCCCCGCCCACTCTGAAGTGGCGATCCCCGCGCTGGCGAACACTAGGAAGATTGCTGCGGGGAGCGAGCTATTCGTCAAGCCAGGTGCACCCACTAGCAAGGAGGCCGACGCTTCTAAGAAGCGCAGGACTTGCTGAGTCCACAGCCGGGAGGCGCAGAGTTTTGCATCGCATTGCGCAGCACGAGGATGTTTTTTTCAGGAGCACTGCGTGCTGCAGGCTCGCGGTTCGGGCGTTAGTCGGGGAGGGGTGGCGGGAGGGAAGGATGGGAACTCAAGGGGTGGAGGCGGCTTCCGCTCTGAACCATGATGGGCGCAGCAAGTAGGAGGGTGGAGTTTGCCGCCCACGCGGATCGGTTCGCTTGGCCCGCCTCTCAATGTCGCTGCATCGATGCATTTTTTTGAGACAGCGGCTCTGACGAGAGGTGGCCGCATCCGACAACTGCGGATCACCGCGACGCAAGTGCAGAGCTGCGGTGCCTTCAATGACAAGGCTAGGCGCGATGATAAATGCAAAGAAGGTCCCAGACCCCCCAAAAGAGCCCCAAGAGGGCCCCACGACGCTCCAAAAGAGCACCAAGAAGCCCCAATAAGGCCCTAAGAGGACCTCAGGAGAGCCCCAAGAAAGAGCCCCAGGAGGCCCCAAGAGGGACCCAAAAGAATCCCACGAGGGCCCCAAGATGCCTCCAAGTTTCGGAACGCACGCGAGTTTAAGATAAATCAGTGCAACAGCCATTACGAGTCACCGAAATACCCCTCACCTCCCATCGAAGCATTATCGCAACTTGCGCAGATGTTCACCTTAAATTTTAATGCAGGAAGCTATGTGTGATGCTTGTGCTCTCGAAGACGGCTGCGCGACTGCATGCGTTCTGGATGGGCTGGTGGGGATACGCAAAGCATCAAGACTAGTTCGGTTTTTGTTGTCAGCATTTTTCAATTTCGAGGTTCGTGGAGTTCGTGGGTATGGGGGGGAGTGGCAGGGCGCGTGGGATTCCACTGTCATGTCTGCGTGCGGTTATCATCGCGCCTACCCTGAGCATACCGCCTGCCCTTATCATCGCGCCTGTCCTTATCATCGCGCCGCAGCTCTATCTGGGGTTCATGGGAGTGATCTGGGAGGCCTCTTGGGGCCGTCGTAGACCGCATTGATCAAAAAGATAGGGGGGGGGGCAATTCTTGCCCCCCCTCGGAGGCTCAACACTGCCGTCTTGGGACCCTCTTGGCCCGCTCTTGGAGCGCTCTTGGGCGCTTTCGGGGCCGTCTTGGGGCTCTCGTGGGCCCCTCTTGGGGCTGGCTCGGGCCATCTTGGGGCCATCTTGATGCCTCAAGAGCCCTTCGCATGCGAAAAAACGAGAATGCAACAACCATTGATTTCCCTTATGTGTTTGAAGGATGTTGGCCTCTTGGGGGGGTCCTTGGAGGCATCGGGAGGCACTTGAAACCGTCTTGGGGCAGTCTTGAGGCCTCTTGGACGCGTGTCGGATGCTATCTTGACCCGTATACCGCTATCTTGGGCCATCTTGGAAGCCATCTTGCGCTCTCGGAGGCCCTCTTGGAGCCATCTTGGGCCATCTTGGACGCTGCTTTGGGCCCGTTCCCCCCCCCCGTCCAATTGCAGGGAGGGGGGGGGGGAGGTGCACCTCCCGAGCAGGGGAAGGCAGGAGGTTGGAAAGGGAAACGTCCTAGACCACCTGCGCCCAGAGGGCTGGTGGGATTACCGACCTGGCACCCTGGTCGCGGCGCTAATCGTAGATGTCGAGATGGGGCCCGAGGGGGGACAAGACCTGTGATATAGTGCGCGTGTAATAGGAGACGCGCGCCTCTGCACGGCACAAAGGATGTGAATTCTGGGGCCCTCCGAAGACACAGAGGGGGAGGTGGGGGCGGGGGGAGGGACGGAGAGGGGAGGGATGGAGGGAGGGAGGGAGGCACATATGTATATATATATATATACATAAATATAAAAAAATATACGTACACAGATATAACTATATATATATATATATAGAGAGAGAGAGAAACACAAACACAAGCAAACGGGTGGGAGAGGGAGGGAGAACGATATAAAGAGAGATAGAGAGATATATAGAGAGACGGAGGGAAAGGGAGATGTATAGGGAGACGGGAGAGGGAGAGAGAGAACGAGAGAGAGAGGGGTATGGCATTTGGGTTACATTTTTGGGCATTGCTGTAAAGCGGCAACCAATCATCCCCGCTCCAACCACCCGTCCTCCTCAATCCTCTCACGCGCCCAATGCTGCCTCCGCTGCGTAGCTCATTGAGGCGCCAGATTTCCACGTCTGCGACGGGCAGTGCGAATCGTACCACTCATGGTGTCCATCGATGGCGGCTATGTGCTCGTCGCTGCGCCTGGCACTGTCCCGAACCCTGCCTCGTCTTGGTGTGTGAAGCCTTCAGTTGTTGATGGCATCTCGTTCGTGCAGTGCGACAAGGGCGATGCCAGGTTCAAGCGCTTCCTGTCGCAGAAGCTGGACATGGTGGATGCGCTCTCCAGGGCGCGCAATAACATGGTGGACGAATTGATGGATGAGGCCAACAGGAATCGCGTCGCAAATGACGAGATCATGACCATTGACGTCCAGGGTCCAGTGTCCAAGAGGCCCAGGAAAGATGCGTTCGATGACATCGCCGACTGGGTCGAGGTCACCGTGAAGCTCGTTGGTGGGGGGACTCGGTCGTGCAAAGTACGGACTAGTGCCAACCACAGGGACAAGCTGCACGTGGAGTGCAGCGCCGACGCGATGGACCTGCTGACGAAGGACCCAGCCCCCCCTGACCAAGACGTGGCCGACCCCGTCATTACACACCCGCACGTGAAATGGATGAGGTACAGGCACTCGCTGGTCACCTACTACTTCAATACGGACACACAGAAAATGGCGAGCAGGAGCATGAAGGTCGAGACGGGGACGCCCGAATTCGTGCAAAGCAAGATCGACATGTACGGCCAAATACTGGAGGATTTCTACCAGATGCGCCACAACAAGTCGTGAGTGTTGAGACTGGGTGTCTGATGTCAGGCTGGTTGGCGTGCACGCGCAGGGGTAGCGGCGCGCTGTGCCTGTATGCACTATGTAAGGAATTTGCACTGGCGTGGCTCTGTGTCGGGCTGGTTGGCGAGCAGGGGGCACCTGTAGTTTGGTGCGCGGCTGCACGTCGCCCTCGCTCAACCGCGCTAGGCGGTGATATCATGTAGCGGTATGCTATGCGCGCATGCGGTTGCAGTCCGCAGTATCATTCAAGTTGGGCTCGTGATGAAATGACCAATCGGAGCCCGTGTCGATCACACAACCTATGTCGAAATGTGCCCGCGACCCCCTCGATCAGCGCGGCTAGACTGTCAGGGCACGCAGGGGCCGACCACCGACGTATGATATCTTCGCATTGCGCGAACCTCTGCTCAGAGGTTCGCGCAATTGCGCGAATCTCTGCTCAGAGGTTCGGTATCCGCCAACTCATCTTCATAAGATAACTTAAAGTTATCGTACGTTGGCGGATGCGCGAACCTCTGAGCAGAGGTTCGCGCAATTGAGCGAACCTCTGAGCACAGGTTCGCGCATCAGAGAGATGCCACTGCGTGTTCTCATGTGTTGCGTGCGATGTGGCTTTCCACCCTCGCCCCACGCACTCCCTCCCCATCATCTCTCTCCATATCCCCCGCCACTGGCGTAGCTGGTTTGGCTCGCAACGGCCTGTTTACCATTGGTTCGCCACGCGCCTCG